TTATTAAAAAAGACTCATTTAACGTTAGAACTACTGAACCCTTAAAATTAGGGGTTTCAGTTTCCTTATTTCTCAATTATCGATATCTTAAAAGCGTTAAATATTCAAAATGACTTAAAAAATAAACATCTTCACTTGAATACTATAATGAATATATAAAGGAAAAATCGATTGTTATAATTTTTATAAGGATTACATATTAATCACATAAAAAGCTCGGTAGTTTTAGTGTTAATTCCAACTAACACACTCGAATGGTGAATGTGAGAAACTTATCTAATTATCACATAAATCCAATGTTAATAAAATTGTTTTTATAAATTGAGAATTAAAGGAAAATTCTTTTAATGTCTATATAATTACAAACAAATTTCAAAATACTAAATAATAATTACCAGAGTAAAACACTCATTCATAAATTTCTTTGTCTAGTTAAAATGATTTCTTCACAGTAAAACTGAATAAATACTATAATTCCATCACTCAAATAAAGGTAATTTTAATATTCTATTTCTAAGGGACAAGTAAGTAAGTCTGCGTCTATAAACGCATCGCATAAGAATGTACAATAGAACGTTGGCAATGAGACATAGATTTCATAACTTTCGAATTCTCTTCGATAAAGTAAGCAATTAAAATCGTCGCGATATACATTTCTCGGAAGCAGGGAACATCGGAAATTCATAAAAGAGAAATCATTAAATCGAGCTTCCGAAAGAAAGTGAGACACACACACACACACAAACACAGAGGGGAAAGGGCAAAGGGAGAGGGGGAGACAGAGAGAGAGAGAGAGAGAGAGTGGGCCAACGATGTACAAGAGGAATCAATTTTGCAGAGAGACAGGACGGCCAGCCCATGGAACTCGTATATTTGTTCTGTTCGTTCGATCCATATTTTTTCAACAGAGAGCCCCGGTACGTTCCTTTGTGCCCGGATATCCGATTCCATCCCGGAGGACAAACAATGGTGGAAATTATTGGAACATCGTGGCCGGTTCATCGTTTCCGATCGTTGACCGGATTCTAGAAACTGTAGCACACGTTGAGTAACAACGCATCGTGGCCACGCCGGCTGAATCTACGCTCCTATTTTCTGTGGCCGCAACACGACGCGCACCTCGGTTTACAAATCCGTGCTACGTATCGATTTCCTATTAGCATCAGGTAAACCGCCGCGGCGTTGTTGGCTGAGACTAGAAGGTGACTGTATAGTACTACTGATTACCCGTGAGAATTGCATATGAATATACTGGACGTCTTACTGCCAGTGGACAAACCAGACGCAATACAATTCTTCGTGAAAAAGGAAGTTAGAAATGTGGAATTCGACTTTTTCCACAGCTTTCTTTTCGGAGAAACCTAGGTTTAACCCTTTGTTCCATGATTTTTCGCTGGGCTTTATATAGAACTGTTTTTTAATTAATAATTTATTAGAAAAAGAGATATTTGACACTTATTCTATGTCTACGTTTGCTCTAAAAGTTAACGGTTGAGAACATGATTTCGATTAAAATTTTCATCACGAGTGTCATATGGTATTACAGAGCAAGGGTTAAAGTTTCTGTCTATTTAACAGCACAACCGCAGGGCAAAATCACACCATCATCGACATATTTGCGTTATTTATATGTATTCTGATAGGAATACGTTCAGTTATTGATAAAAGCTCAGCATCGACTTAAATCTGTTACCGATCGTGCAACGATCGCATGCTATTTACATACTGGTCATCATTCACTCTTTATTCTATTATCTTCCTCCTCTTTCTCAATAACAATGTTGTTGTAGCTATTTCTTTAATAAAAAATGTTGATATCATTCAGAATACTGATCCATGTGTTGCCAGTTGTCATGTTGTCAAAGAAGTCGTATTTAGAAAATATTATAGTGCTCCTATAACTATATACAATTTTATTTCAATATAATCAGACTAGACATAAATATTACTCACCTACTCATACTTTGTACCATACGATTACACATTCGTTACCGTTCATTTTATTGTAATATTTTGTTATAACTGTTTAATAATCATCTAATAGGTTTATATAACATTTTTTTCTTATTTTCACCAACAGAATGAATAAAAAAGTTTAACTAGAAACATTTGGAACACTCCGTACATCTTGTATTAGGTTACTGGTAGTTAAACCGTACACGATGTGATTCTACATAAAAAATAAACAAATATGTGAAATTTAATTTTCTTCGTTAATGGCTTCCTTTTCAAGAAAATCGAGATTAAAAATTTGCAGAGCTTATTCGCACTCGGTGGACTATATATTCCAGCCGGAAGATATTCTACACGTTAAATAAGTGGAAAATGAAAACTTTTTCATTCGGCAGCCTATTTTTGAGAAAATCGAGTATGAATATTTTCCGGGCGCACGTGCACTTGGCTGATTCATGACAGTATGTATACTACTATATGTATGTAGGTTACACTACCAAGGGGGGTATTCTACCAGATGAAGTAAGTAAAAAAGTTTCATATAAAATTATTTTTTATTCGAGGCATGGTTTTCACAAAAATCAAATACGAATACATTGGATATCGGCCAAATAAGGTATACGCCAGAAATTTTTTAACCGGATTTTCTCTAAAATAAAATTATAAATGAAAAAATATTCTCCTATATTTTATGATTACTTTTTCATGTAAAATATCGTAACATTCTGTCAAGTGCACACTCCTACACGTGACGTTTATAAATTTGAATCCTGATTTTCTGGAAATTGAAGTCACAAATGCAAAAGTGTCATTGTATGTTTTCTACGTTTTTTTTTTACGCAGAATCATACTTTTTTTCGATTTTTCGACCAGTCACAGGTCACCCTGTATATGAAACATATTGTTGAAATCAGTAACCACGGATGATATTGAATTTACATTAACCTTAATTACGTCCAGGCATTGAGAGATGCAGGTATGGAGAAACTGCTAACGATTCTGACCTCCTAATGCCGAACACGTTTATATACGGGCATCATGTGTCAGTGCAGATTGAACTCGAGCAAAGCAGGAGAAGCACAGCAAAGCGAGCATGCAGGACTCGGGAACCTTGACCGGAAACAGTCGAGATTTCGAAGGTGGGAGCTGCCACTTGCGTCGCGTTACAATAACGCGGAGAAGCTGACATATGATTGGACTTTTCGGTTTTGTGTTTATTCGTGTTACTGTCGAGCTATTACATTATTACTGTTATATAATTAATATTTTCTTAGTAGAACAAGAAAAGTATAATATTTCTTAAGAATATTAATTATTATTTTGTGCTTATTTAGGTATCTATTTGTTGATCGTGTCTAATAAAAATGACAAGTTGTTGTATTATTATTTTTACATAGATAACATTTTCTTGGTAGAAAAAGGAAAATATAAAATTTCTTAAAAGAACTTATTATTGTTTCTCAGTTATTTAGATATCTATTTGTTCATAATTTCAAATAGAAATGTCAAGTTATCATATTATTACTTTTACATATTTAATATTTTCTTAGTAAGATAAAATATATGTAAAATTTTTTAAGAATGTTTATCATTAAATTGCAAATATTTATGCATTTATAACATATACAAATCTCAGAAAAAGTAAGATAGATGCTTTTACACAGTTTTAAAGTATATTTGCAAGTTTTATTGTAATACATATCACTATTTGGATGGAAATTTAATTCATGTATGGTATAAGAACATATAGAGAACACAAAGTGGTAGAAAGCTTGAACAAAAATTAATGAAGATTTTATTTTATTTTTTGACTAAATGTAGGTTAATCATTTTTTGAATACAATAACTTTTCTTTTGATTTCAGCTTTTGTAGAATACTTCATACAAACAGCATTACAGGTAAACAATTACAGTGTAATTATTATTAATTTCTAGTAGCTGTTTGCAGTAACTATTTCGATCAAAACCGATTATGTTGAAATTCATACTGCATAATGCAATTCCATTTTAAAGCGACGTCTGTCCCATTCGCGACGTGTGATTCGTAATGTAATATAATTAATTCATATATTATACAAACGTGTCATACATGAACATGCGTGTACTACACACGATACTGAAAACCTTTATTGAAGTCAATGAAACATTTGTAAACTACATTGTACAATTTGCTTTAATAGAGTGATAATTCGGGCACGATATCACAATATATTGTAATAATAATATTTGATTTTGCATAATGACAGTGCCTGTTGATAGAGTTCAATATCAAATAAATAACAATGTTTAACCGTAATTGCATTATCAAATTTGGAAGCAACAACAGAAGGTAAATTTATTACAAATGAATTAAATCAATTACTTAACGTCTTTATTATGTAAAATGTTCACAAAATTAATATAAAATCCTTATATATTAAGAAACAAGTCAACAATTTAATTAACAATTAAAAAAACTTTAATTAAATATTGATCCCATAAATTTTCTTATAATTTTACAATATTTTCTTATCATTAATGCAATGTCTCAATGTTTCAGTATATTCTTCCTTTGAATTGGAAAAAACAATTTGAAAAGATGAAGTATACTTTTTTCTTAAATTTTACAGGTTCATCCTTACAAATGTTGAAGCTTCATTTATCCATAATTAAATTCTTCTACATAACCTTTATAAATAAACTCATAAATCCTAATGACAGAAACATGTCTCGAAAAATTAATTACCAACTCGTATAAAATTTCAAAACACTTTACATTAACAAATTCAATAAAATCTGATATTCAATGGAAGATCTATCAAACCAAAGTTGTAAATCTGACGAAGTTAATTTATTAAATTTAAAGAACTAAGTCAATTTATAATTGCTTAGGGAAAGGAAACTGAATCGAATTGGCGGAGAACATATTCCGAGAAGAATAATTGGTTTGTGTCGAGGACGTATAAAGGAACATATTTGCAGACAACGTGAGTGGCAACTCCCATAGATCGGTTCACCGTGAACAGGTTCAGGAAGAGGAATCAACGATGCTGATACATAGTACTCACCGTCGTTGTTTGTTCGTGCACGTGGCGGCGATGAGCTGGCCGTTGGGAAATTTCGGGAGACGTTATCCCTTGGTTGCGGTTGCGGCCCTTCGAGGTTCGGACTCGGGCTGAATTCCGCCCTAAAATCTGCCCTATCGAAACCCTCCTCGAACTCATGAATCAAGTCGATTTCATCTGGCTCGACGTCACCCTCGTATTGTTCTCTTAACACTGCCCTCGGAACTGAAACAGGGAAATGTAACGTGTTACTATCATTAAGTAAATCTAACTCTTGGGTACTATCATAATTAGCACGTTAATGACTAGGGACGTCTTTAAATGTTTTCGGGAAACGATGCAAGTTAATTAAAGTATTTAGATACTATTAAATAGTCTACCGCGCTCTAAAGAAATATTATAGCATTATGGATATTTATTCTCGTACAAATATTTTAATATTTTATTAATTGACAATAATTGTTATATATAGGTTCAACGGTCGCGCTTAAAGTGTTAAAGATCGACTCCAGAATTTTGTTTTAATAGCAGTTAATAAAGGAAAGTAACGACTGCGTACTTTGCTATAAATGTAGTAATGATAATATTCACGCGCATTTTTTATTACTTGCTGTTAAATGTTAATCAAGAAATATTTTTGAATATTTAAAAGTTTTATAAGTTTTAAGTTTCATGACGGGAATATAATTTGGTGATCAAATATATTTGATCAATTTTTAAGTGAACATTAATGTTTATTTCGGTAGTGAATGAGGAAACACTTAGGTGATGGAATTTTTTATATAATTGACACTTGTAAATGAATAATAACGATTAACTCAAAGTGAAGTAATGTATTATTGGTTATTTGATTCTTTATCTATGAACAGAATCAAATAGGAAAACATGGAAGTAAATATTGTATACAAATACTTCGTAAACGTTTATGCAAATTTAGACCCTTGTAGTTCGATTCAGGAAAAGTAGAGTAGCGAAGAGATTTATTTCTCCTGTACAATATCGTTTCGCTAAGTTTCTTATTTTATGGAAACTCATACATTACGAATATAGTTAAAAATACTGCATCGGGAGAAAGTAAATGAGAATGCTTATAAGTATTAAGTACAAATAAACGCGAATGCTGGAAATTAAGAAGTAAATACTACAAAAAATTAAAATTAATATCATATATACTAATTTTAAGTATTCACCGGAAAATTCAGTAAATACTGTTTCTAGTAAACACTTCACTCTTTACATGTATACTATATACATATAGAGTGTTTATTTGCAAAATCTACAGAAAAAACTTATACTTTTTTTATGCATACGATCCACTCTTTAACCTTTTAATTCACGGTGAAATCGCCTCGAAACCACATATTTCAATATTAGTAAAATGCGAATCAAAGAATTAGTCGCGAAACCACCAGCATAAAATCGGTATAGTAATCCTGCTTGCAATATTATGTTTATTATTATAAGAATTTCTTATAAAAACATTTATTTTCGTTAAAACTGATAAGTTAACGTATATTGTGAAAATAAATAAGATTTTATTTGAGGTCTGAAGGGTTAAAAAGAATCGCTGGAGTAGACGAAGATTGTTCTGTTCGCTTCGGTTCTGCTCATATTCTCAGTCGTTAATTAAAATTGAAATCTGTAAACGAATCTTTAATACCGCATGGAAAGTCATATGGTTTGCAGCTGATCCAGTGTTGTTCGCGCGATAAGATCCCTCATTCTACATTCTGACAGTGGCCGATTTATTTCCAGCAGTGTATGTTTGGTTGCGGTATACGGGGCCGGGGTATCGATACCTCGTATCGTGTATGCAATCGCATTTCACGCGGATAAGCACGTAGACACCAAATCAAGGCCTTCCATTGACGCGTTGTGCAACGTGTCTCGAATAACACTGACAAACGAATATTTCTAGCTGGACGAAGTGTTGCGTTCAATAAAACCACAAATCGAGTGTAACTTTCTCAGTATTAATAAAACAAGGTTAATCAAGACGGTAATTCGTTCAGTATTCGTATTATTATATGAAAACGTGAATAATGTGATATACATTGGTTAACAGAGACTAAAAAGAATAATTAATTAGAGAGAGTGTAATATAATTTATTACTCCACTTATATAGGAAATTGTTGAAGAGAAACCTGGCAAATATATATTCTTGTATTCTGCAGAGAATGAAAAGGAAAATGGAAAATTACATAATGATGTATAAAAGCGGTGTGTAATAAGTATGATATTCGTAGAAATTGTTCTCTATTTGACTCCTTGCCTTATAATGTGTTGAACTAGTGAAATTTTCACTCAGAAGTTAACAAGCATAAATATTATTCAATTCCTTTGAATTAAAATTAAGCAGTATTCTTCTGTTATCAATTACTGTACTTTAGAGTAAACATAAACATAGAAATGTTTTGAATTTTTTCTCTCTTTTTTTGAATAAATTATTAACGACAAAGTACTTGTATTAATCATAGGTGAAGAAGAAATTATAGATTGAGGGGATAATTTTTAACAGTATGTGTGTATTTCATATCAATTACTTTAGACAATTCTGTATACAATCAATTGCTATTATTCTATTTATTATTCTATCATAATTATTTCAATTATTATTCCATACACTGTTCTGCAAATAAACATTTAAAATGTAACGACGAAAAAAATTCTAAGAAAAAGTCTAACTGACTGATCTCAGTTTGTTTTCACTGGAAATACGAAACTCAGCTAGTACGTTATTCGCGTCAAGCTATGGAGGTTCGAAAACGTTGCACGTTTCAAAAGGCATTGAATTTTTCTCCGACGTTCCTAGACAGCACAGTTTTTGCCGTCCGCTGACAAAGTTGTCGCTTTAAAATGCAAAAGTATTCGAAGAAAAATTCGCGGAGGATCGCGTCCAACAGGAAATTTGATATCGTACACAGTAAGGAAACGAATCCATTAAAATATGTGAAAGATACGTGCTACCCCTTGAAAATATCGCGTCCGTGTTTCCAGGAAATTAAGTTCTTGTCTTTCGCAAATAACGCTTACAAGTTTTGAAACAGTACACCGTCGCGCGTGCTTGATGTGTACTTTCTGTTTGCGGGAATCCGTTTTGCTAAATGAAAATCCACGGCGAAAGAAATATGAAACCGCCAGCAGTAAACTCTGCGACAGGGAAAAAAAGTAATGCACGAGTGTCGTATGCGAATGCTTTTACTCCGTTCACTGTGCCTTTATTTTTCACGTTCATTTCATCGCGAATGCTTCCTGAAATTTTAATACAATCGCGAGAAATGAAAACGGCGACAGTGTAATCGGTCAAATGTAGTTCATACACAAGTACAGATTTGTCTATAATATTTTCTATCATTTCATATAGTACTTTGAAGATAGTATAAAATACATTTAACCTACACACTTGAAATATTGGACAAGTCATAATAGTTTAAACGAAACTTGTAGCTCAGTATATTGAATAAATTTTATGAATAAAGTATATAAATATAATATGATAAACTCCTCGTAGAAACTACAGGGACTTGATTATTTCTGATTTGAGAGCGCATCAACTGAGAAAATAAATGTCTACACAATTTTTTAATCATTCGAGGTAATCTAGAAAAATTTTAATTGCAGTAGAAATCAGGATTTTAAATAATTACCTTTGAATAAACGAGGAATTTGAATGAAATTCGATAATCCCATTTAAAATTTTCTAAAAGACGGTGGTCTATTCTGTTTAATGAAGCGATTTTTAATTAAATTTTAGTCGAGCGGTCATTGAAGTTTAAGTACACTTTATGAAATCCAACGTGGAATTTAAGTGATCGCTGAAATCCGGAAAGCTGGCAAAAAAAAACTTCGTCACTTGCTATGAATACCCGGCCGAGTACCAAGTGGTTCTGCTTAAATAAATTCAAGTTAACCTGGCCAACGTTCCGAGATTTTATCAAACTTCGTTCAGTAATAAAAGACGGCTATTCACCAAGACGAAATGCATCGTCGAAATTTTGTACTCTGCGCAATGGAACAATCTTTATTCATTGAGAGCCGTTTAAGCTTTTATTACACCATAATACTGCATAAGATGGAGTAACTCGTTCGGTAACTCCCTCTAAGAGGCATTTATGGAAATAGAATATTTTTTAGGGGCTCCATCAATCTGCCTAGAACGGATAAGAAATTTTCATAAAATCTGTATCCACACAAGAACGGAAGTGAAATCTCCATACGTAGAGTGTAGTTTCCAATGAAAAAGTTCGGAAAGTGTAGGGAATGAGAAAATGTTTAAGCATTTGATGCATATAATCTAAATCAAATTAATTTAGTAAAATATATTAGATCAGTTTTTTAATAAATTGAGGAAGAATATTTTAAAGTTGAGGAGCATGAAGGTTTTAACTAAATGTATATATCTAGGAGTATTTGGATAAAAGATGAAAAAAAATAAAATCGAATAGCTTAAAGTAAAAAACAAAATGAGGTTCCACGATGAAAAAGACAGTATTATCTCAAAAATCCTACCACTTAACCTACCTAGATGGGAGCAAGTGATAACCACAAGATTAAGGATATGGGATGACACACCTCTGTACTCGTATAGCGAACAAAAGCGTACGATCATATTATACCACAAATTTAACAAAACTATCTGCAGGATAAATACAGTACTATATAATATACTATATTTACTCCACCATTTGTTGTATAAAATTATGTAAAACTCAGAAGAATTTAGAGAATTCAGAAGAATCGAGAACTTTTAAAAATGCAAGGAAAAAATGTGAAAAACTTAAGGATATACTTAAATGATATCGGAAGTATAAAGGAAACTACAATATTCTACCTAAGAAAATATAAAATGCTTCGATAAAGTATAGTAATACACACTTATTTAACTAAACAATAATTACGACGAAACTAGAAATTTTATAAGAGAGAAACATGAACATTTCACAGAAGCTCTTTTCTCAACAAATAGTAGCAAACTATTATTATTATTCCGAGCCAGTTATATCATCCTCCATAAATTCCTAAATTGATGAAATCTAAATGATCAAACAAAAAATAAAACTAATTTCTGAATCGCCGAGTACAGAAACGAAATAAGTACCAGCGGTGTCGGTGGAAAATGCGAGGACAGCGATTACGAAATTACGAGGTGTCGTTACCGCGAGATTCCTGGTTGCCAAGGGGAAAGGAGAGGAGGGATAGGGCTAAGGGTAACAACGGAAGTGGCGGTCTCGTATAGTTTACTTACCGCGATTAATAATTGCAATTTAACACCAATGTTGCGGTACCG